TTTGCCTGAGCTACGGGGGCAACGAAAACATGTAGCCGAATGGCCTGATGCGTCTATAACCTGGCCATACGCCAACATCAAACATAGCCAGCTAGATCACGCAGCCGTCAAAGGTCGGCTCATGCTAAAGCGCTTCAGAGATGCTGAATCATGTCGCTGACCACTACTGCCGAGTGAGTGTGATGCCTCCGGCGAGTTAGATTGGAACTTGGGCACATAATTGCGTGAGACATGGTGGCGTTATCGCCAGGGAGCGATTGCAGCCATTAATGTCACGACCTCTCACAGGGCCATTGTCGCGATCCCACTTCGGAGTGGTTTGTAACTGGTTGTAAATCTATACCTCTTGGGACTTCCAGGCATTTGGGCGTCCTCAATAAAACGCCGTGATGCGATGGTATCTCCTTCGTTTGGTTAACGATTCTGCCCTTCCATTCATTCACGCGGCGGAACCAGTTTTAATTGGACCTTCCCATCGGTCGGCTTCGCCGATAACCTCTTCGTGCCGCATTGCCAGGGGTTTGATTGATGTCCTCACTTTTTTCCGACGAGCCTCATGCATGAATAGTGAAAGGAAATTCGAGTAAAATGAAGCCGAGCTGGCTGATCCGGCGAACGATGACGTAAATCGAAAACAGCTGCGCAACAATACTTATCATTAGACACTGTCATAAGTCACGTAACGAACAACGCTCACACAGGGCTGATTTACCTCGTATCGCACTATCTAATAACAGACCAGAGGACAGCCCATCCCATCAAAACCACCCAGCGTGACCATATTCCCATCCGTTCTCTTCCTGCAGGAGAAGCGGCGTTTTTTCGCAGGACGAAATTCGCTCCTGCAATGACATTGAAACTAGACTTTTGCTGGAACAGTGTTCATGCTTAATTGAGTCGGAATTGGAGTTTTCTATCGAGCCGCGTGAGTAGACCAAAACTCAGGAAATTTCAGCATGCTGACGTAGCGCTCAGTCCGACTTTGCGCATGTAACGAACTTTGTGCAGGATAGTCATAAATCGAAGATTGTTTTTAGTTTTGCCTGTTGACGAAGTGTTGGGCTGTAGGATGCTCACGGACCCCATTTAAATGGTTTGGTGGAACTACGTCCGAACGCCATCTCTAAAACTATATCCTTAAGGTGGCTGAGGAAGGCATACGGGCCATGCGCGACCTCTTAACAGTAGGAGTAATATGCGTGCGCGTGCATAACATGGGGACATAGGTACAACATGGCTAGTGAATATAGGTACAACTATACGCAAGCTCATTTTTTGCGCGGTTATAGATATTGACATGTTAAAATAGAGCATGGAAATGTATCTGAGAGTGCGTGTTTGCCTGCTGTTCAGTGCGCTTACGCTTGTGTGTGTTACGGAACGCACGTAGTGAAGTGTGTGGGTATGCGCTGCTTAAGTGCGTGTGTGCGCACGTGCGGACGCGCATGCACGCACACATGTATGCGTACCGCATGTGTGCGTACCTGCGGACGTCCTGGATGGCCAGCGTGTATATATATATATATATATATATATATATATATATATATATATATATAAATACGTGTGTGTGTGTGTGTGTGTGTGTGTGTGTGTGTGTGTGTGTGTGTGTGTGTGGGAGCCGGTGTGAGGCAGCGAAATTGCCCGTGTAATCGCGGCCGGCGGCCGCTCCCACGCCGGCCGGGTGGGTCGCGTCGGCTGCCGACAGTCGTGCGCTCGCCGCGGCCGTCCTAGCGCCGCCGCTGCCGCCGCCGCCGCCGCCGCCGAACGCCGTGAGAGAGCCGGCCCGCCGACCGCCGCAGTCGGAGCAGGAGCGCCGCTGGTGCGACACCATCCGGGGACGCCCCAGGCGGCGCTGGGGACGGCTGCCGGCGGAAGTGGTGCGGTGAGGCCAACCCGAAGCGGAGGACACGGTCCCCAGCGACCGTGTGACCGGCGCGGGCCGGTCACAACCCAGGCCCAGCCGCTGGCAGGTTACGGCCGGCCGGCCGCAGTGCCCAGCGACGCCGACCCAGCCAGTACCAGTCGCCCGCGGCCGTGAGCTGTGCAGTGCCCAACGGCGGCTACCCAGCCAGTACCAGTCGCCCGCGGCAGTGAACCGTGCAGCGCCCAACGGCGACGACCCAGCCCGTACCAGTCGCCCGCGGCAGTGAACTGTGCAGTGCCCAACGGCGGCTACCCAGCCAGTACCAGTCGGTGTCGGCCGTGAACTGTGCGATGCCCATCGCTGGCTACACGGAGTGATAAACAAGATACGGTTAGCGGCCTTCTGACCCTGACCCCCTGAAGGATAGGAAATCGGCGCCAGCAACTGATCATTGTCTACAAATCCGCACGAGCATTGGATTAACGCCAGTTGGTGGAAAATCCAGCGGACGTGCTCCAAAAGTTAAGGCCAGGCGGGGAGCTGCAGTCTGCCGTGTGTCCGACTCCGCGCCAGTCGCCGTTCACGTCCGTCCCCTTCCCTCACGTGACATCGCCGCAGGCCGCGTGACCGGCGCCTCGGCCTCGCTCGCGTGTCTCGCCGCGGGGACACGCGGTTCCCGGACGAGCCGCCTCGCTGGCGAGCCGCCTCGCTGTCGGCGGCGCCCCAGCTGGGAGCGGCGGCAGCTGCGCTCCCAGGCAGCTGCAGCTGCCGGCTGCGGCACCGCCGAGCACAGAAAGGTGAGGGCTGGCGCCGCGAGCGGCCGCGGCCTGGCCGCTGGACGTCCTGAGCGGTGCCGAAGGCGCACCAGGCAGGTGAGCTGACCGCTGGGGGTCGGCGGAGGGGGGGGGGGCGGGAGGGCTGACCGTGGGGTCGCGGGAGGCAGGTGAACTGACCGCGGGGGTCGGCGGGGGGGAGAGGGCTGACCGCTGGGGGTCGGCGGGAGGCAGGTGAACTGACCGCTGGAGGTCGGCGGGGGGGGGAGGGCTGACCGCTGGGGGTCGGCGGGGGGGGAGGGCTGACCGCTGGGGGTCGGCGGGAGGCAGGTGAACTGACCGCTGGGGGTCGGCGGGGGGGGGGGGGGAGGGCTGACCGCTGGGGGTCGGCGGGAGGCAGGTGAACTGACCGCTGGGGGTCGGCGGGGGGGGGGGGGCGGGAGGGCTGACCGCTGGGGGTCGGCGGGAGGCAGGTGAACTGACCGCTGGAGGTCGGGCGGGGGGGGGGGGCGGGAGGCTGACCGCTGGGGGTTGGCGGGAGGCAGGTGAACTAACCGCTGGGGGTCGGCGGAGTCGACAAAACCGGAAAGAGCAGCGCGTGTGCACAGCGTTGCATGGCGCATGGGGTACGTCATGCTTTTCCATGCAATCCAAACAGTGCATCCAAAAAAGTAACATTGGATAACCAAAAAACGACAAAATTCCAGAAAAATTTGGCATTTGACCTTCCTTGCGCTGATCGCTTCAGGGCAGAGCCCTCCTTAGCCGGTTTGCGAAAATGCTTGCATGGGTTGTAATGTCAACGATTTACTTCTTTAGTCTGTCATCAACTTGTGCCCATGCGGCTTACTGATGGGAGGAGCGGCCTTCTCACTTGCATGAGAGGGTCTGCTGGTCCAGAAAATGCGTGACGTACGTCGGGGGTCTACTGGTATATAGTCTACCTCCTTATATAGTCTATATATACCTCCCTACAGTTCATATATAGCCTACCTCCTTACCTAGAACATCAACTCCTAGTTCAAAACGGGGCATCCCAAGTCAGAAAAGGGGCCTCCTAAACACAAAAGAGGGCCTCCGTATCCTGGAACGGGCCTTTTGATGCAGGAAAGTTTTCCTGAGTCATTCGGAACGACTAGCTCAATTGTCTGGCCTCCTTGATCTGAATGTTGGTGAGCTATGTGCAGCTACAAGACCTTTAGCTTGGGAAAAGGGGACCTACCAAAATTTTGAGGGAAAATACACTCTTGCCTCCCCCTTTCGGCGGGCAGGAAGGATGTCCCTTATGTACACCTGCTGCACCACCCCTGCTTCAATACGTGATAGATTGCAGAGAATGGTTTCAGCGTTGTTGGTGTTCCTTTCGTTTGGAGGCCCTTCCGAGCTTGGTATCCTATGTTGACGATTCAAAGGCCCGTTTTTCGTTGCATTTTAGGCACCCTGCAGACGCCTCAAACTGCGAAGAAGTACTAGAGCCTTCGGGCCCATGGAACCCCACTACCGTCAGAGAGAAGGCATGGTCCAAAAAGCCCCTCCATTGGCTACGCCACTGGTATTATCAATTGATCTGGGACCGTGCCTTCTCACGAGGGACCGAATTCTGTCAATGAGTAGCGATAAACTCGGATACAAAGCGATAAACGGCCCGCACACATGATCCAAGGACACCCAAAAATCTATCTATGAAGATATCTTGCTACGCTCGCACCCGCTGTTTCCTTGCATGCGAGAGCTTTTCCCACGGGTCGCCTCCTGGACACGTCAATGGCTTATTACTGCTCACACCCCCAGTTATTATCACGTCTACCCCGCGTAACAAAGGAGGAGCAACGCCAACCGTTAGTCAAAGCGGCCCCAAAGCGCTCGGTCGGTATGCACGGACGGCGCGGGTCTGTGGCCGAGAGCGGCCGCGGCGGCCGACCCGGCGGCGCCCGGGCCGCCCGCCGCCGCGCCCGCTCCCACGGCTGGGAACGACCTGACCCGCTCACCGCTCGCAGTCACCCGAGCGAGCCGGGGGCCCGGCGGCCGCGGTGTTCGCACAGTGGGCACCGCGGCGCGGCCGGGGGCAGCCGCGGCGATCGGCAGAGGGTGCGCCACGACCGCTGGACCGGCGCCGTCTGGGCATGGGCGCCGAGGGCCGGCGGTTGCGTGATGGCTCGCCCCGGCTAGGGGTGTCCGGCCGCGCTCGGTTCACGTCGGCTGGGGGCCTCCAGCTGCGCTCGGTTCGCGTCGACTGGGGGGGTCTGGCTGCGCTCGGTTCACGTCGACTGGGGGCGTCTGGCTGCGCTCGGTTCACGTCGACTGGGGGCGTCTGGCTGCGCTCGGTTCGCGTCGGCTGGGGGAGTCTGGCCGCGCTCGGTTCACGTCGGCTGGGGGCGTCCGGCCGCGCTCGGTTCACGTCGGCTGGGGGCGTCTGGCTGCGCTCGGTTCACGTCGGCTGGGGGCGTCCGGCCGCGCTCGGTTCACGTCGGCTGGGGGCATCCGGCCGCGCTCGGTTCACGTCGATTGGGGGCGTCCGGTCGCGCCCGGCGTTGAAGCTCTGTTCGTGCGAGGCTGTGGAGAAGGCGGCGTCTTCTACGTGCATGGTTGTTTTCGGCGTCGTGAATAAGCATCTTTTTCCTAAAAATTATTTAGTTTTGAACGATTGTGATGTTCGTGAGCCATATAGCAAGATAGAAACAGTAACTACACCAAAATAGAATCGACAGGAGTAAATGCCCTTTTTATGACCTTTTTGCTGTTACGCTACTTAGCACTTTAGCCTTGACTCGGTACTTTGAGATGCCAATGCACTGAAGCTATGCTAAAATTGAACAAGTTTTTCGCCAGGTGATATGCATAAAGGGTATCACAAAATAACAGTATGCCTCCTTTATTCGTTTCAACATTTATCCGATGTCATATACGAGGAACCCAATAGATACTGAGGACACTGCACTGTAGGACAAGGCACTTGTGTCTTTTGGTATGAATGTAATGCGGCTGATACATATTGTCATGGAGTGGTAGTAACCCGTCATTTGTCAAACACCACATTTCTAGTTTTGAGTCGACTCCGATCCCCATTCAGAGAAATAAGTATCAATCATACGACGAATTTCCAAGGCCACTCAGCGCCTGGCCCAGGGGCACCGCCAGCGGAAGATGAGGTGGCAAAAGTCCCTTCCCGTCTGGGGCCTTATTTGGGCCTGGCGGCAGCAACAGTCCTATTCCGTGGCTTCTGGACCACCGGACCATCGGCTGGCCGGCGCAGGCATGATGTCCTGGTTACGTCCCTGAACTGGCCTGGCCTGGCTTTGGCGATAGCGCCCGGCCGTTGGGTGACGTCCCGGCGTCGCTCCCGCCGCAGCCTCGTCCCAGCAGCGCTACACGGCCGTCCTCGCCGGCTCGCGCGGCAGCAGCAGCCCGCCGCAGAGCAGGACGCCCAGCGCGACGTGCCCGGCGAAGTGGAGCGAGCCCCAGAAGGCCATGACCTTGCCGCCCCGCTGCAGCAGCGCAGCCACCATCGTGTAGTGGATCAGCGAGACGCCCAAGAGCCAGGCGACCGCGCTGTACACGGTCGAAGCCTGGAACGCAGAGCGGCGCCGACTGTAGCGGGCGGATTCGTTGGTGGCAGCAGCGACATGCGGGGCGTCCGCAGCCCCGCTAGTGGTCGACAGAACGTGGGGGCCAGGCTGGTGGGGCTAGAAGCACGGATCTATGACATTCGAAGTGGGAAAATGGGCTCATTATCACTTTTCGTGGAAGGCGGTCATTTTGTTAAGTTTAACTTTGCTCGTAAAGATGTTAGCATGCACACCGCGGACCACAATCGGCCCAGAGACGACCCCGTGCTGTCTGGTCAGTGAGATATTGCCTCTCGGGTTGCCAACAAACGCCAAGGGTTCGTGAGACCGACCTTTCCTGTAAGACGGGGTCGCAGCCGCCGCTCCCAGAGCCGCTCCGCCACCAGCGCGAGCGGCGGGATGATGGCCTGGTGCAGGAAGCCTGGCCAGAGTCCGTGCCAGAGCGCCGACACGAGCATTGTGAGCGCGACGCGGCCCCAGCGCGGCCCGCCGGCCCGCCGGTACACGGCCCAGTGCAGCCAGTGCTGCACCTGCATGTTCCAGCAGCGCGCCGTCGCCGACAGCGTCACCGCTCGCCAAAAGGTACGCACGCGCACGGTGCGCACCGCCTCGAAGTCGCACGGCGCCTGCCGCAGGGCGGCCGGGTCGGCCTGCATGTGCAGCAGCGCCTGGTAACGTGTGGGTCCGGCGCCTGCGCGCGCGCCGGCCGCCGTCGGGTAGGCGCCCATCCCAGCGGCGATCTGGCCCACCTCCTGGCCGAGCAGGGCGACCGACACGATCAGGAAGAACTGGCCCGCCTCGATGTGCATGCGCAACAGCTGTGGCCAGAACGGGCCGGTCAGGTGGAGCGTCTTGTAAGGCCAGAGCGTGCGCAACACCAGCCAGGCGGTGGCGAGCAGCGGCATCAGACGAGCTCGCCACAGAGCCGCACGCACGCAGGCGACGTGCTGCCAGAACGTGCCGCGAACGGCGTCGCGGTACGTCAGGTACGACACGTAGTGGCAGCCGACCGTCAGGTAGCTGAAGGTGTAGTGAAAAATGTCGCCGGCCGATGGCACCACCTCCGTCACGGCTAGCTGCGCGCGCATCTCCGCCATTCTATCTTGCTCTGGGTTGGCGTTTTCTGGCCGCGCCATCGGCGCTGGCTGGGTCTCGATAATCTCTGTCTCGCTGTAGATCGTCCGAACCACGTTCCGGCTCACTGTCGCCCCGTCCCAGATCGGCACCACACCTCCTCCAAATCGGCGCCGCCTTGGTCAAGATCGACGCCGCCCTGCTCCAGATCGGCGCCGCCCTGCTCCGGATCGGCGCCAATGCCGTCCGGCTCGCCGTCTGCCGGTGCGAGCGGAGCACCGTCGAGCTGCGGACGGCCGGCGAGCCGCGCCAGCTCGGAGCGCAGCCGCCAGCCGGTGTGCACCTCCAGGCTGACGCCGATCAACTTCAGGCAGACGGCCATCTGCAGCAGCGTGAACGGCAGTGGCAGGCCATTGCACGCCACGGCGAGCGCGTGCACCAGCAGCAGCTGGCCGAAGGTCACCACGGCGCTGACGACGTGGACCCACCTGGAACACGGGCTCAGGCGGGTTAGCCAATACCGCCGCCTCGTCCGGCACCGGCGCCAGCGGGGGCTCCTGTGGCCTGCGTTCGCGCTGCAGAAAAAGACTGAAGCACTGAGATAACGCCTCCCCAGGGAAAAAAGGCTTGATTGAGCAAACCCAGGATCCTACGGGCGTTTCGTCGTCTCGTGAGACCTGTGCGCAAGCGGACTGGGATGTTCTGCTGTTCTGTTCTGTTCTGCTGTTCTGTTCTGTTCTGTGCTGTGCTTGCACGGTGGTGCTCGCTCTACTCCTGTGTTAGGCCTAGATGTTCTGTGCGCTCTGATGTGGACTCACCACCGATGAAGCAGACATCACGGAGCCGACGACATACTCGCCTAGGACCCGGGCTGGCCCAGTCAACTCTCGCTTGCTGGGTAGCCGAAGAGGAGGTAAATCAGCGCATCACAATTTTGACAGCTCAGATGCTTGGTCTGCTCAAAAGCAGGCAGTGACGGAAGACGTCATGGCATCACTGGAAGCCTGAAACTGAACGCTTGGCACACAACTAAGCTGTGAAGCTGCTCAACTGCTGCTGCAGTACATGATGTAGAGTGTGTGTATGCGCGTGGGGGGGAGGGGGGGAGGAGGGGGGAGGGCATAAGGGGAGACCGGAGGTCGCGGAGCTCGGTATGTGACCGGCCACTGACCTGTGGCTGACCCAGCGGTGGATGGCCATGTTGGCCAGGCAGACCAGTAGCGGGAGCAGCAGGAGGCGGCCGCAGAACAGCGCCGCTCCGGTCAGACCCAGCGCCGTGGCGGTCCACTGGCGCGCGCCGGCCGAGCCCAGCCGGCGGAACAGCACGCCAGCGACCAGCAGTGGCGCCACGGCCAGCACCCGGCTCAGCGCGTTGAGCGGCGCCGATAACGACGGCAGCATCGCGCGGCGGGGCGGGGAGCACGCGAGCACTCTGTGCGGCGCGAGCCGAGCCGGCGCCGCCGCCGGGCCGCCCGGCGCCGCGCAGCTGGGTGAGATAGGGCACACGCCGAGTACGGGCCTTGGCTCGCCGCCGCCCATCACGCAGGCTCGTAGCCAGAATTTTACCCAGGAGGGAGAGGGGAGGGGGGGGGGGGCGAATGTTAATTGTTGCGAACTCCTGCAAATTTGGACCGAATTCCTGCGAAATCGCTCAATATCTAGTGTAAGCATCCTGGTTTGTGAGAAGAGGGCCCCAGCCTCCTCTGGCTGCATACCTGGTGTCACGTGCTGGGCGTTGGCACAACGGAACCCTTTCACCGTCGCCAGGCAGCTGGACTCCGTTCCCACATGTATTTTGTCCGACCCGCACTCCCGTCGCGTCAACGCAAACATGGAGAACACGCACACGCACGCACACCGAGTGGCAAACGCACTGGTCACGCACAGATTCCGGCGGCGGAGGTGGGGAGCACGCCGGCACCTCGGCGGGCCCGGACCGCGGGCGGCATACATCGGCCGGGCACGTCTTGGGGTCCCGCCGGCCGCCGCCGCCGGCTCGGGGGACAGAGGCAGTGACGGACGATCGTGAGCGGTCAGCGGCGCCGCCGCAGCTCGCGCCATCACCGGGACGGGCGGCAGGCCCGGCCCCCACACGTGAGACGTGCCGTGCGGCGCTTCCTGCGACGGGTGGCGCAGGACGTGGCGGCACAAGTCACGGAGTCGACCGAGGGTGGTCTGACGGTCTTGAAGCTGGGTCAGACAAGACATCGAGCAACACAGGATCAGGTCAGATCAGGCTGGGTCAGACAAGACATCGAGTTACATAGGATGAATGCGGCTGCACTGGCGTCACCAAATCTTCTATGGCACAAAGCCAGTGTTCTTATCGCTTTTGCCTTTGCGCAGATTTACAACCTGGATTTCTTTCTTTCAACGGGGCTCAGTGACAAACAACTGCGTAAAATGAAACACCTCTAGAAAGCTACATGTTCGACAACACTGTCATAGCCGCAGATTGGTAGGGAAAGTGTGCACAAGTGGTGCAGTCGTCGCCGGCTTGGATTATATTCTCTATGTGCGCCCGGACAAGGCTGCGTATCGCCACGAGTGAAGGCCAGCGAGATGCGCAGCATCAATAATTCATGCTCATCCAATAAATCAAGTTCATGGGCTAGCCGCCACCGTGGAGAATAAGATGGGACAAATTCTCTCAGCTTTCTGGAAGTTTTGCATGGAGCTCATGGAAACGTGGCGTGGAATGAATTCGCCTACAAGAGGGCCGATTCATCCCTATCTGGGGTCCGTGGTGGTCGGCGCGGCTGGACAGGACTGTCTTCACCCAGATCTCTGTTTCAAGAAAAACGCATAGGAGCGCCGCTCCCCTTGTTCACAGAAGCGACTCAATTTTCAGGTTTAAAATCTTACTATAATTGCTTATTCCTATTCTGTAGTCGCTTCCATTCGTCGGAAACTGTAGAACGCATTGTTTTGTAGCACGTTTTTCTTGTGATATTCCAACCCAGAAATAATTAATCTCTACCTCGAAATCTGATGTATCAGCGTCATGGGCTATCTGCCAACGCAGAGTAATGCCGGAGCTCCTCCACCTTCTCCGTTACTTGCCTCTCTCGAGCGTCAACTTAACACTGACCGCTTTTCCAGTTCCAATTTTTGGAAGGGTACCTAGCTGTCAACCCACTTATGTCTTTGAGGGTCAGAAATACGTGTTCGCAAAACTGCTGATTGGCTGGAACATGTAAAAGTGGTACAGTTTGTCATTCGGCCGGTTTGACCTGACAACCTTTTAAACGTAGGCCAACGCCGTGTATGGGTACCACCTGCTGAGGTCGACACCGGTTGGATCAATCGATGAATTATGGGTTAATCCATGAATTTCACAGAACTAGATTGCACTATTTTCCTTCAAAAGGCGCGAATGAAAAGTTCACCAGAATCCAAATTTGCCTTGCCTACACATGGGAACAAACTGAAGCTTCGAACACTTACTTATGAATCTCTTTATAATTGCCTTCATATGAGCTAGTTTTGCCTGTTTAGGGATTTTGAATTGGGCTGAAATAATTAAAACACTTTGATACTGTTAATAAGGGAGCATTTTAGTCATGCTATTGCGTATTGGACTCGAAATGATGTGCCGTTTATGAAATGAGGTTGACGATTTTTGGATTTTTCCGGCGCGTCGACTGCCGCGGCCGTTTTGCTGTCATTTATGAAAAGGTGTTGTTACGCATGGTTATATTTCATATCTACGTCCTGGATTGGACTGCGAATTTGATCCATGAATGGCTCTATCGCCAGCACACAACATAATTTATGTGGACGCCGCAACAAAGGAGACACCGGATTTATGTGACCACACAACTGGCATTGGACAAGCATGACAAAGCGCGTGGGCCGGAGTTCCAGCACCTGCATCCCTCCTCAAACAGCTGCAGGCGGTGCTGTTTCGCAGGAACTGACTCCGCTCGAAGGCCGGGGCGGCCGCAGTGACGTCATCTTCCGGTCCAGCCAACCGTGACCAGATTCCCAGCACGGTCCGGCGGCCGGCAGCTGTTCGCGATTCGCTGTGTCGGACGCTCGGCTGCGCCCAATAGCTTGTATTCTGGACTGTGTAGCAAGCTGATCGCAGCTGAAACTCGACGTGTCGAGTGCATTTCAATTAATTATCTACGTTTTATTTATTCAACGAGTGTGATTTTCAGTTATTCATTTATTCCGCATTCCACTGTCCCACGCTGTAATAATCGCACGGGCAGTGCGTTCATAGTTCCCCCAACTTGTGTTGCGCTCCCCACACATGCCGCAGCTGAAAAATCTGCACGGCGGCATGTTTGATTCATACGAACGATGTTAGAGAGCCTAGCATTCGCCTGGACATGATTTCGCACGTGCCTCGGTCGCGAGCTGAGGTCGGGAAGGAGCACTTCAGCCGCTGTAAGACCGCCCTGCTCAACACGCGGGACGAGCGGGGCGCAGTGCTGGTCCGGGGAATTTTTTAGAAATTTGATCTGAACCCTTTGAATGGATGGATTTCTGGGATCAACGCTCACGCTAAGCAGTGCTTGTTGTGTGAGCCCTGACCCCTACCATCCGATCGCGCAATCCCAGGCAACGGCAGAATTTGGTGGCGAAAGCTTAACGTGCCGCAATGCTCGGCACGGTCCGTCCTGCCCCCCGACATCAACTGACCTTTAGCGCAACCGCTGCCACCGGCCGCAGGCCATACCTGTCAAGGGCAAATAGCGAGCGCTTGAAGCGACCCGAACCCACCCCGCCGCGGGTGGGTGAGTCGGGAGGCAGGCGCTCTAACCAACTGAGCTGCCAGGACGGGAACTGGCCTGGGTTGTAAAGTAATGAATGGTGGATGCGATAACAGGCCAGGTCTGGTTAAGGATTCACTCCTTACGTGAGCGTTCGCAGGGCTGTCGAAGTTGGCCCGAGCGTACACTTGACAGCTGATGGTGTGTTTTAACATGTGCACATGATAAAGGGCCCAACAGCCGCAGGTCTTGCATCATGAGAACCTTACGATAGCAAATCCAAATTCGAATTTAAACTAATG